TGACAGACCTAGATGACAAATGAATAGAAGTGCTGCATGGCCAGCGGAAAAGGGCGGACACCACCAGTGACAGACCTGGGAGACAAATGAATAGAAATGCTACATGGCCAGCGGAAAAGGGCGGACACCAGCAGCGACAAACCTGGGAACCTTGCAAATCCTGCGACCGACCGTGACACAGCGGACACAGTGCCCGGTGCCCAAATCACCATCGTGCTTGGCCCCGCGGCTGTGAGGGAACTGCCTTTGTCCAAGCAAAACAATGGTCTTGGTTGCATTATCATCGTCCCTCCCTTGCAAATACATCGTTAAGGGGCTATCTCAGCTTAAATGTAGTTTAATGAGTACTCTACTCTTCATCCAAGAATCATGGAAGTGTACAAAGATGATTCATGATCAAAAATGGCCGCTTCGGAGACTGCCTCGACAAACAAAGTGTTTTCCAGCATCTTTGTTCTTTGTTGGCCAACTCTCGCCAAAGTTCACTAGTTCCTCAAGCTTTCGGAGACACACATAGGGGCCCGCAGGGCTACATTGTCAATCATTGTCATTTGCGAGTTGAGCCCAACTTTGAGTGGTGTAAAAACCCCACATGAGCTGTTGTCCAAAGCATTTGATCATTGACATGGATGTATCAATATTGAATTTTGTGGGCCAACAGCTCCTGCTGGTGCTCTGAGCCACAAACGGATTCACTGCATTTTGGCTGAATGGTGCTCGCTATCACCTTCCTTTGCCTGTGCTTTGGTACAAACATCCCATTTTGCAGGGGTGACTGACTACTAGTCCACCCATCATTGGGTGATGTTAAAGGTTGCTACATTTATAAAACAAAAGAAGAAAACCGACTAGGGGCCCGGTCAAAGTGAAGACGACCCCCTCCCCATCAATGCTGCCTGTCCAAACACACATGTCTTCTACTCCCGATTCTTTCATCCACTCCCCCCAGGCCTTTTCATCCGAAGCACGAATCAAACCGACTTGGCCTGAGAACAACATGTTGCGGTGCGGTTTCAAAACAACTTGGCCTGGTGGAGAATGGTGGAAAACAATTTCCTCTACAGGGCAATGTCATTTCCTCTCTCATGCATATTTCATAGTGTGTACAAAATTTGAAATGGGCTGTGACAAGTTAAAGGATGCCTTGGAACTTTGATTGACCTTAGCACCACTCCTGGCCCATTGGGCAATTGTTTATTCGGATCTATTTCCAAATGTCTTCATTCCAAACAAGGACAATCCGTTTCAGAGAGGTGTCCGCATGGTTTCAGCCTCTGAAGTAAGAATTATTTGAGGCCCCTGGGTCTTGCACATGGCTGTAGTTGTCCAATCCGTTGGCACAAAAAAAGTTTCAACGCCCCCACACACCTACCAGGAAATGTAAATGATATGTAAGCTTGCAATAGCTGAACCTTGACTTCCCTTGACCATCAAACAACTGCTGCTTATGTAATCGAAGACACAAAAGCACCGACTTCCGCTCAGCTCATACTTTGCCCAAGGGCCCACGCCCCAGCATGATGGTCTGCCTGACGTCATGGGTGGGCACAACATCATAGGAATGATGGGAAGTGTATGATGGTGTATGCACATACAACAAGTCAGAAACCAATAACCAGCAACTACAGGTACATCTGCACACAAACAAGAAGGCAAAGAACAACAATTCAGCCATGCGAGTAGTAGAACATTCCATCAAGAGAGGGGACCTCGTGAACCACTTTGAAACATAGCTTTTGGTGTCCACTTCATTCCACTTCTGCTTTTCCAAGGTCACCCTCAATCTCCGGTGTCACTGGATGTTGCCTTCGGACTGCTCGCGGCATTTTGAGTGCTCAGGTCTCCGATCAAAGCTCCTCCTCCCTCGGGTCTGAAGAATTATCTCTAGGTCGTTGGTCCGTTGAAAGCATCCTTCGTCCCCAGGTCGTTGGGACAGCATCCTTTCGAAACACACAAATTGAAGCGGGGAGAAGTAGCTCTGACCTGGCCTACACATGAGTGCAGAGACTTCAATCAACGCACAGCGACCGTGTTTCCACTGGCAAAGCACTGGCTCCCGTTGAAGGGTATATAGTGTAATTAACTGCATGTTTATAAAGGCTGGGCATTACATAGGGTTTGCATTCCCTCTTCCAGAGCCTCGCCAGTGCAACTTTAAAACGTTGGCAGCTAAAAATGCAGCTGCTCCAAATTGCTGGAGTTGACAAGAGTTTCTGAATCAATGCGAGGCCTTTTGCGGTACACATCCGTTTATTGTTGGTGCGCCAGGTGCCAAATCCCAGAAAGTGGCACAAGTTGTTGGACCAATAAGGATCTTGTGATCTTTTGTACCAATTAGATACAGCGATACAAAAAACATAATGGGGGCCAACAAACATCGCTGTTCTCTGCCTTGCCAAACGGCAAAGGCTCTCTGGCGCCAAAGGGTCGGTGGCGCCGGTGAGTTGACCTGAGTCAACCTGACTCGGTAGATGATTCGGTTCGGGAGTGGCCGCCAGTGGCCCGGGTTGGATGGGACGGACCTCTTTTGGTTTGGTACATCAACCAGTTCAGGATCTCGGGGTGACCTGTTTTTGCCAGCAACTCCGATGACTTCAAGGTTCAAGCCTCGATGACAGGTATAGTAATGTATATATGTATAATTATATATATACTGCATGTATATACCGTATATACGTATATGACTACGTATATGTCACTCCTGAACTCATTACCATAGTAATCGACAGTAGCCAATTACTGTGTACTGTAAATATTGTCTACAGTGATTATATATTACATATATAGAGTCAGTCCTCACTGGTTTGTATCCGAAGCTTCTGGAGTGCGGCGAAGTCTGCAAAGCCCTGTCCATGTGGTGTGCGAAACGGAGGGTCAAACACCCTCTCCCAAAGAAACGTCCAGTCTGTCTCCAGCATGTTTCTCCCAGCATTGCTGGCCAATGGCCAGAACTCCTTCGGAGACTGGCCAGGCACTTATTTTCGAGATTGATCCAGAAATCCAAGCTCGCTCCTGGCTCCACATTGGCTGTGGGTCACAATGAGTTGGCTGTGAGTCACAACTCGTTCATCCATGTTCATCCTGCTCAAAGACAATCAAAATGAAATCAAAACGGATCCTTCTTCATAAGCGAACCCAGAATCAACCCCGTGTCCAAGATTGTCCAAGTGATTCTTCAGCGCATGCACAGAAACCACCGCCCAGCTCATTCAGGGCCTAAAAACGATGTGAGTGTCCTGGATGTGTCTTCGTTGGCCGACAAACACGACTTCGTCTAGAGTCTAGAGCGATCGTGATTTGTCTGATTGATCTATTCAGATCTATTTAGGTTTTCTTCTTGGGACACCACACCAATCCACACACGTCCACACCCCTTGACTGTGAGACTCAATGAGACTCATCCTGACACCATTTTTGGTGCACTCAGAGCTGCAACATTCTCCCTGATCCTCGGCTGACGCCTGGAAAAGTTCAACCAAACATCATAACGGAAGTGGTTGCGCAGTTGTTCTTCCAATTCTTAAGCCTGTTCAGGATCTTGTCTGCAAATACATACATCTATGTATCGCTATTCTTGTTAGTTAGAGCTATATCGGATGATGATGGTTAGTAAATGCCTCTCTGAAGTACTGCGACTGTTGCAGGTAATGGGACAAGCCCAATTCAATTACTGTATATATATATATATCGCTATTAACACATATTATATAACATCCTGGATTAGAGCAACGTTTCCAGGATGTCTTCGCTCTTGACCCTTTAGTGAACCCACACTGCTAGGCCATTGACAAGGTGGTGTTCCTGGCCAAGCGAAGTCCCGGTCTTGAAATATATAATCACAGCCGTCGGTCTTTTTTCACGCGTTGCAGCCAGTTTGTCTGAAATCGAAGAAA